GCGGCCTGCCCGGTCCTCCTCGCGGAGGTCGGCTTCGGCCGCGATTACCTCGCCGCGTACCGCATGAGTATGATCTCCGAGCGGCTCAACCCCGACTGGCAGGCCGCGTATTTGCTCAAACTCGTCGACTTCTTCGCCGCGCACCGGATCGCGATGCCGATTCACATTTTGGGCCTCGCGAACGCCCTCAACGCGATAGCGTCGATGTGGAGCTTCCGCGGCGAGCCCGGGATCGGCCTACGGCATTTACTGCGAATCCCCCCGGCCTACCGCGGGCGCCAGGCCTTCAAGCACATCCTCCACGCCCTCCACGTGCCCCCCGCGGAGGTCGCGCGGGGGCTGGCGGCGTTTTACTTCCCGCGAGAGGAGCCGCGGGAGTTTGCGGAGGGTGCCGCCCCCCCGCCCGCCGAGGGCGGCGGCGGGCTGCACCGGTTTTTGATCCTCAGGGCCCCGATTCGCGATCTCGCGATGAAGGCGGTCTTCGCGCGGTACCCCGCGGCGGTCGCGGCGCTCGGGGAGGCGGACGCCCGCATGGCGACGATCCGCCGGCGCAATCGAATCCCCGCGGCCTTTTCCGCCTCCTCCGCCACGAGCGAAATGCAAACGCGCCTCGGCCCCCCCTCGCGGGATCCCCCCGCCCCCCACGACGGCGGCCATCGCGTTTCGCCGCTCTTCCAGGGGAGTTTCGAGCCCGACAACCCGGAAAGCTTCCTCTACCTCTCCGGCCTGCCCGAGTCATCCACGGACTCGTTTGGGGGGGAGTTGAGCGATCTTCCCCGCACGCCCGAGGATGCGCCGGGTTGTTTTTTCCCCGAGATGCAGTGCGGGGATATCATGCACCTTCGCGAGCTCTTCAATCCCGTTCTCGAGGAACTTGAGGACGCGGTCGGGATGAAGCTCGGGACCCGCCATGTGCTCTTTACCACCATGATCGACCACATCTCAGACGACCCTGCCCGAAAGGGCAAGGCGGATGACCCTGGTCGGCATGCGGGGTTTACCGGGCGACGCGACGCGACTTCGCCAATCGCGACGACGATGCGGGCGACCGTATCGGAAGGGGAGATCGTCAGTGAAATTATTTTATCCCCGGCGGCTTCGCCCGGGCACCCCGGGTTGGATCGGGCCGCCTATCACGCCGGCTCGCCCAGGGTGAAAGCCGCCTCGCCGGGGCCCGTTTTCGAGCCGAACGAACCGCCAAACCCCGCCGAGCGCGCCTGCTACTTTCCCGTCTCATCGGATAAGCCCCCGAAGGGCGAACCCAAGCGGCGCTCGACTTACTACAATCCAGGGTACGGTCGGGGTAATCAAAGCCGGTATCGCTCAGGCTATTCTTAGAGAAACGAAATAAAAACGGAAGACGCGAGGATTACCGCTCATTGTCAACATCCCAAACAAAATTCATGGAAATAGGGGGAATCCAATTGTATGGTGTGTTCATTCGACCTCTGGAGGTTGATGCTTATAAGTGCCTTTTTATATCGCCTTGCGAGTGGAATTTTTTTATCTTTTTTATTTTATTGTTTTATGTGTGAACGTGTATCAAAGACGAAACTACTTGTTTTGTTGTATAATAGTCACGATGCTTTAGATTGTATCCTGATGTGACGTTGATGGGCTACTTGCCTTAACCCGAATGTATACCTTTTGGACTATTCATACGGCCACCTTTTATTAGGGAGGGATGTCTTCATGGGAATAAACGCCACCTTTAACTACTTTTATTTTTCTCCCAACTCTGACTTCAGGATTTTTTCTTTCTTTTTATGAATGCATATATCTCAAGAATATTAATTATCGAATACAATAGTCTAGAATTATCACCGTTATTCGTGTTAGTTTCACCCAACAAGCTTTTTCTCTTTGAAAAAACAAACAAATAGAAAACATACTTCATTTCATTGCTCTCGGAATAAGGTGAATAAAAACCGCGTTTAGTGTGTTTTATTTACAAATCTTTAAATCGACAAGAGTATTCACAAATTTTATATTAATACTTGCCTCCCTCTGTTAAAGGAGAAAAAACATTTATACATATATATATCTATATCTTTATATATATATATAGAGAGAGAGATACACAGCAGTTGTGAACCAGAACGGCTTCATTACAGATCTTCTAAAATTCAAAGAAATATACTAAAAGAAGAACAAGCTGTGAAGTGCTTTTAGTTCAATACAATAAATATCTTCATTTCACACGGGATAATCACTTCCGTAGTCTAGGATATCCGAAGCTTAAAGGAAATTACTGACCACAAAAGAGTTCATTTCAGCTATATCGATATCTATTGGTGAACTTATTCAGAATTGAAACGAATACAATCTTTTATTTTTTTTTTCACGTCAGAATTAGACCTATTAATTGGGTAATGTTATCCACCACAGCCTCCGTGGAGCTGAAGCAGCCCAACAATTCCTCCATCTCATCCAGCGACGGCACGCCAAACCCGAACTGGGGGGTTTTCCTCCACCCCTCCCTCTTCCGCGTGCAGGCCAGCGGGAAGGAGATTGTACTTTCGCTCTGGAAGAACGGCCTGCTGTCGAATCTGCAGTCGAGGCCCCCCGCGTCCTTCGCCGGGGTGGGGGGTCGGCGGAAAGGGGCGTCCGCCGCCGCCGCGCCGCCGCCGGGGGA